TTTCCCTTTTGCTAAACATGTCTGCTTGTTTCCTGTCTTCCTGACCCTGCCATTTAGGCCAGTACACAACAGGTCGCGGCTCCTCTGGAGTGGGGCTTACAGCAGCTGTGCTGAGAGACTCTGTAACTGGAGAACTGACCTTAGAGGGTGGGGCCCTCGTACTGGCTGACCAGGGTGTGTGCTGCATCGATGAGTTTGACAAGATGGCTGAGGCTGACCGCACAGCCATCCATGAGGTCATGGAGCAACAGACTATCTCCATTGCCAAGGCAGGCATTCTAACCACCCTCAATGCCCGTTGCTCCATCCTGGCTGCTGCCAACCCTGCCTATGGGCGCTACAACCCTCGCCGCAGCCTGGAACAGAACATACAGCTTCCTGCCGCACTCCTCTCTCGATTTGACCTTCTCTGGCTAATCCAGGACCGCCCTGACCGAGACAATGACCTACGGTGAATTAAGCTCAACACTCAAAGAGACATACCTTAGAGATGATTGGGAGGGAGGAGAAATTGGAAAGCCCTCAAATTCTCATGAAAATGGTTCCACGATTCTTAGGGAAATGGTGGGTCTGGGCTGAGACGCTGGTAAGGATTTCTTGGTAATGTTTTTCCCTGCCACACTGTGAGGCAATGGAGCCCAGGGAAGAGGAAGATAAGAGTTGGGGCACAGGGTGCATAGCACCAAAAAGAGTGTTCCTCCTTGCCTCCACTATTCCCAGGTTGGCCCAGCATATCACCTATGTACACCAGCACAGTCGGCAGCCTCCCGCCCAGTTTGAACCTTTGGACATGAAGCTTATGAGGTAGGAGAGCTGAGTAAGGAAGGACAGGTCTGCTTCACCTTGTGTGGCAGTATCTTGGGCCTTGTGTGTCTCTTGGAAAGTTTTCAGTCTTACTACCACCCTGCCCATCCCTTTCTATGTTATGGGTCTGAGAACATTGAATCTAGTCCCCCCCAGGCTGGCCACAGAAGAACACACATCAGAACTAATCTTGCACATCACTGGCCTGTCTTGGATGAGGCAGGTTCAGATTCTAGGCAAGGCTGGGTCCTGCTGCAAGGATACTTTGTCACGATGTTCTCCACAGGTCTGTGCAAGGGCTCCTAATAGTCCCTCAAGTTTTTCTTCCCTGTTACCTATTCTCTTCAAGTAAACAGTTGTCTTAAAGCAAACAAAATATATTTGTTCCC